TACAAAGTCGACGTCCTTTAACACTTCATGGCTGGACACGAACCTCCTCCTACTCCTTCTTCTTCTATTTTTTCTACTTCTTCTTCTTCTTTCTTCTTTTAATTTGTTTCTTTTTTCCTGCATTATTTTTCTTTCTTTCTTTCCCATCCAGTCGAGATTCGAGATTCGCCGAGAGAAAAAATTTCTTCCCCTGTCTGTCAGGGAATGAGCCAATGAAAAAAAAGTCCTTCTAAAACAAGGGGGAGTCGGAACAGAGTAGGGTGCCCGATTGGAAGGGGAAAAAAGGCTATTTTTTCTTCTTCTCATTCACCCCCACTCCCCCGCAGTACGATTAGTCATGCTCGTCTTGCCATACGGGGCACGACGTACTGAGGGAGGAGACCATTTTTATACGGTTCTCTCCCTTCTTTTTATTTCCACCTCGGACCTTCGCTACGCACACCCCCTTTTCTAAGAGCTCCCACACAATTTTTCAGTCAGTCGAACAGCTTGCCTCGTGACGTTAGCACGCTGCCATTAACTATCGTACTTTTCAGTTTTGATCAGAACATATAAGAGCTTTTTTATAGACGCGTATATTTATATATATAAATACATATATGTATCTCTAAGAAAGTTCTCGGAGTGAGTCAAAGCATCCGTGGAAGTAGGATATAAAAAAGAAACGACACAAAAAAGGAGGACTCTTTATGGAGTTTTCTTCTCCTGCGAGCATAACTCGGAGTGTCGAAAAAAAGAAGAAAGAAAGACAGATAGATACATAGATAGATAGATAGATAGAGAGTGCGAAAGTGCGATAGATAGAGAAAAAGAGAGAGAGAGAAAGAGAGAGAGGGAGAGTAAGAGAGAGAGAGAGAGAAAGAGAGACAGAGAAAGAGAGAGTGGAAAAAGGAAGGGAGAGAAGGGTAAGCTCGAGTGGGGTAGGCGAAAAGGTAAGCGCGGGGGAGGAAAGGAGAAGAAATTAGAAAAGGAGAGATCTCCCACTCTCTTTCTCACCCCTTATACGACGTTTACCCCCGTTCGAGGCGTCGACGGAGTCTCCGGCTCCCACCCGGCGGCTAAGGGTAGTTTGCGTGCGGCGGGGGAGGACGGTGGTGGCGTCGTCGGCGGCGACGGTGGCGGCGGCGAAGGCAAGGGAGAGAAAGGTCTGAGGAAAGGGGAGACAGAGCGCGCGCCACGCTCCTACGTCGGTTTGGTGGGGGCAAAGGAAAAGAGGGGTGGCTTGAAAACTCCTGTCCTACGACATACTCGGCTTTTTCCTTCTCGGCTAGGTGGATTTTCGACCTGGGAGGATTCGTACAAGGCTTAAGCACGGTCCAGGGTAGCCTGGGCCCTTGCCCGGGCCCCGTGGACCCGACTCCTACAAGGTTCCGATCGAGTAAGAGGGAGTACGAGGTAGTCGAAGGGAGGCGAAGAAAGGCGAGCAAAGGCGAGCGAGGCGGCCAGAAATTTCGCGACCGCGCACCACCTAAGACAACGCCCCTACCCGAACACGCGTTCTTTAAGGCACGAGGGGGTGGCTTTTAGTCAGACGCACGCGGTCTGAGAAGCGCGCCACCACCGACCCCCGACTCGGAGAAGGACTTAGCGTTTCTCGCGAGCCACAGACCTGAGTCAGTTTCGGTTCCTCCTCCGTCAAGGACTCGAACGCGGAAGAGGAGAGACCTTTTTCCACCGTCGTCGTCGTACGTCGTCGGGAGTCGCGTCGTTACCGTTGTAGTAGTCGTCGTCGTCGTCGTCGTCGCCGTCGCCGTCGCCGCCGCCGCCATCGTCGTCGTCGTCGTCGTCGCCGCCGTCGTCGTCGTCGTCGTCGTCGTCGTCGTCGTCGTCTTCGCCAACGTCTTTACCAAGGAAGAACAGTGTCTTGGCTGATACCGAACGCGAGAGAGGTGTTTGCCATTCTAACCCCTGACCGGAGAGAACTGCCACGCGAGAGTTACATCGACTTATATGCACCGATAGTATTTACCTACGTCGATTCCACGGACCCACTGATCTCTAGTAAGAGATCATTCTTGGATTCTTTCTACTTCCTCTACGATCGAGCTCTACGATTTTACGCGACGTATTATCGCGCGTTTATATTATTCGACGGGCTTCCTTTTCTTCTTCTTCTTCCTCTTTATCTTCTTCTACTTCTTCTTCTTCTTCTTCTTCTTCTTCTTCTTCTTCTTCCGCTACTTCTTCTTCTTCTGTTTTTATTTTTTGTGATCGTTTCTCCAGTGCGCGATACCAAGTTCGAAGAAATCCTTGCGACGCTAATATCTAGTGTTATTACTTCCTTTGTTTTTATTTTTCTTCTTATTATTCTTCTTATTTTTCTTCTTCTTCTTCTTCTTCTTCTTCTTCTTCTTCTTCTTCTTCTTCTTTTTCATCATTATCATCACCATCATCATCATCACCATCATCTTCATCTTCCTCCTCTTTTTTCGTACGAATTTAGTAGGTTTTCCCCTCTTTCGACCGAACGTACCACCGATCCACCCCCTCTCCATCCCCTTACTCATGGAGCCTCTCTGACATGCCCGGTACGTCAGCGTACTAGCTTGCAGTGTTCCGTCGCGATAGCGAACAACTCGATCCTTTCTTCATTCAACAAGATCGGACGAATACAAGTGCCTTTAAGAAAATAATGGGAAGCGGTGTGTGGAGGGAAAGGACTATGTTCGAGGAAAACACTTTATGCGTGGTCGAAAAGCTAAGTGACGAGATCAGCGATCGTGATTGATAGGAATATCTAGGGAGAAAGAGAAAGAGAAAGAGAATGGAAAAGATAGAAATATTAAGAAAGAAAAAAAAATAGAAAGAGATATATATATATGTGTATATATATAGAGAGAGAGAGAGAAAGAGAAAGAGAGAGAAAGAAAGAAACAAAGAGTGCAAAGTGCGTGTCATTCTTTCCTCATCAAAAGCGAGAAAAATACGAGCGACAAGTTACTCCGTGCCGGCGGAAAAATTTTCTCTTATCTCGAAATGTTCTCGTTGAACGAAATTCATCGATCGCTATATTATTTCTTTCGATAATAATAACAACGTATAGTGTACAATCGTCTAACGGGGTGCGAATATAAGTGTCGAAAATGTGACATCTGTTTTATTTGTTCCAAACGAAACGAAATAAAAGAAAAGTGAAACGTCAATGTCATTTCGTTCAATTTACAACATTCTCTCGTGCTCGGCTTTTTTTATCTAACTATTTTCTTTCTATCTTTATTTCATTCTTTCTCGAATTTCTTAATATCTTCTCTCTTTCTTATCAAATATCGAATGTGAACGTAAGAGGATTTCTCTTAATTATTCATTATTGTTTGAAAATATTTTGTGGACGTTTGAAAAAAAAAAAAACAAAATATTCCTGAGTTATAATAACCACGAATAAATACTATGCGACGGCAACAGGAGCATACGTTACGCGTATTTTGAAATACATGTCTCTGCTTTTGAAAAAAAATGATCGCACGAACGAAATGAAATTAGATTACGTGTGTGTTTGAAGTATGAGGGAGAAAGAGACGACATCGAAAATTTAAGTTGATCGATTGAAAGTTTTCTAAACAAAAACAAACAAAAAAATGAATCTCACGCGCCGTCAAAAAAGTCGTATGACAGTCATGTCGAGCGATTAGTTCTTTCTTTCTTTCTTTTTTTTTTTTTTTCTTTTTTATTAACTTTCTTCTTCGACGAAATTCTTCGCACAAAAATTTTCTCTGTATGCAAACGATTACGCTTCTCCAAACGTCTATCTCCTGTCACGCGTCCACGAATGGGATTTTTCAATTGGAAATAATATTCCAAGTGTTTCGTTTCAACTCCTTCAATGAACTTTAGTAAATTGCGTGACGCTACTGCCAATTAATAAAAGTTTCGTGAAGGATTAAACAACGTGCGATTTAAGTTCGAGAGGATCGTGACGTTAGATCGAAATATGTGTTTTTTGTGCGTCGTCCTTTTCTTCCTCCGTCAACAAGAAACATATCCGTTTTCACGTATAATAAATCCTAGTGTCGAGAAAGTGCGATGATCTCGGATCTTGGTGCATCGGCTTTCTTCGAGATTTTTTTGTTCGCGTTTTTATTTTTGTTTTTTTTTTTTTCAAAATCCCGTTGTTAATATCGTGTGAATGTTCGTCGACTAGTGCGTGTTACTAGAAGACGTGCATAACACGAAAATAATCTTATTTAAATAGGTTAATAATCGGTGAATTAATCAGTGCGCGATTATACACTTGTCGATTGAGAATAAATGGGGCATAAGTCACATGAAATTTGTTTTAAAACTAACGAAGGATTTGCGTTATCGTTCTACATGTTCGTCCCATGTTAGTTTTATCATTATCTTATTAATCCTACAAGCTGATTTTTATGTAAGTAACGTCCCATTGTTGTTATCGTTATTGTTGTTATTATCGTTTTTGTTGTTATCGCCGTTCGTTCGTTCGTTTATACGTTCGTTCGTTCGTTCGTTCGTTTGTTCGTTCGTTCGTTCGTTCGTTCGTTCGTTCGTCGATCGAATAATGTTTAACAGAAAATCTTTCAAGTTCGAAATATTTTTTACTGTCTTTTTTATTTTTACGTCGAAGGGATGAACACGAATGAATGTATTACCTGTCTATTCTCGTCGGCTTGTGTATAATTTAAAGAGTTTTATCGTCGAATCGAGCTACATCTATTTTAATATATCACAGTGAAAGCGTAAATTTGCGAGTGCGAATGATCAACGGACATTTTACCGTTCTTCTTAAAGGAAAAATTCTTTTTCGACTTTTTCTGATCGACGCGAGCTGTCAATTATTTTTCGTTAAGACAATCGAGGATATATATATATATATATATATATATATATATATATAACGCGATGTGTTCGTTGATTATACTATATAACTTGAATTAACTGTATACGCATGCAACGCGTCCATTAATTTATCTGCCACGTTTATAAAATACGCCGGTAGATCGACGAAATCGAATGATGTTTTTTTTTTTTCTTCTGATTTGCAGCTTCGAGCGGGAGACGCGTTACAGCGAGAAATTCCCGCGCAGGAGAGGAAGACTGGACAAAGCGGAAGAAGCAGAATAGGACGAGCAAAGCGGAAGAAGAAGCGGAGGAGTGCGAGTGCGGAAGAAGAAGAAGAGCGAAAGAGAAGCGGAACGATTATAAGCGGGGTTTGGAGTTGTAGTGATCGGCAACGAATATAAAAACAAAGAAAAAGAGAAAGAAAGAGAGGAGGAGAGAGAGAGAGAGAGAGAGAAAGAGAGAGAGAGCGAGAGCGAGAGAGAGAGAGGAAGAGAGAGAGAACATAAGAGAGAGAAAGCGTGAGAGAGAGAGAGAGAGAAGATCACGGAAGAAAGAACGTGGAAAGATATCGGCAGGAAGCTCCAATGTAAAACCCCGCGCCGCATACATATATATTTCAGTGTGTTCAAAAAACGAGTGTACCTAAGTGCAATATTAATTAAACCTAAACGATAATAAGAAGCAACCACAACTACCATCGACGATATCGGTAACGACGAGCGGTTAATCGATTATCGAAATAGAATTCCTTTTAAAGAGTTAAAGAGAAACGCTAGAGTCGCATTTCGAGGAGGAGTCGTCGACGCGCGCGAGCCAAAGTGGCAAAAGAGGAAGAGGCTCGAAAGTTTCGACCGCACCACCGACTACCGAAAAGCGGCGGAAAGCGCTTTTAAATAAAGAAAGAGAAAGATAGAGACAGAGAGAGAGAGAGAGAGAGAGAGAGAGGAGAGAAGAAGAAGAATCTGAAGAAAGTGCACTCAGAGAAAACGCACAGAAAAACGGAGTGACGGAAATCCAAAGAGGAAAAAGCTTCCCTCTCGTCCCGATTACAACAAAAAAAGACTCACACGAAAAATTATACACGCACACACACGCACATCAAACATTCAACGGGGCTAATACTCAGGGCAAAACGGGACGAGCAGTGACTTTATCTATCAGTGCGATTTCTTACACCCCGCTCTAAAGATTTAAAAGCGGTGAAACCTTCGACCGAATCCTGATCGCGTAATAGCGTGGACTATCCTTCCTCGCTTACACCGTCCGGGCTGGGCAATCCTGAATTTTAACCTGAACTTAAGTGTACGCTAGACTTTAAGTTAGATAGACAAAAGAAAAACTAGGCTGTTCTCCTTAATACGGAGTGCATCCATTCGCGCGCGCATCAAAGCAGAAGTTAAAGAGAAAAAAAAGAGAGGTACAGATAGTACATAGACACTACAACATAAACACACACTCACTTAACAAAAATTACACGAACACGTGAGAACACGACACCCTCCTACCCACGACAACGTTAAACGGACAAAAAGAAAAATAATTGAAGGAAGAGTAAAGAAGAGAGATCGAGCGAACCCACAGACGGGCATCTGTCTAGGAGAAATCAAAGGTATAATATCTACGTACATACTACGTATCGGCGAATCGGACCAAATCCGCGAGGTGACTCGAACAAATTCGTATCACGGCTACGAGAGAATCGAGAATAAGCGGAAGAAAAAGAAGAAGAAGAAGAAGAAGACGAAGAGAAACAGAAAGCAAGATCGTAAAGTCGGAATCAAGGTAATCGCGAATAAGGGCCGCTTGAGGCAAACGATCGCCATCGGAAGAAGAAGACGAAATAGAAGAAGAGGAAGAAGAAGGGAAGTCGAGGGAATCAGCGGAGCGGATTACATGAGCGCAGCAGCGGCCACTAACGGGCTCGGGAAGTTGCAGCAGGTGGCGAGTAACTGACGTTGCCCGCCGCCCACGTCGAAGCCCAAAAAGCCAAGGATCGTTATCGTTCGTACGAGGACGATCCTGGGCTGAAGGAGGAGGAGGAGAAGGAGGCGAAGCGATTGTGAGGAAGCGAGCGAGCTAGCCTCGAGCGAGCCGCGAGCGAGGCAAGGAACGGCGCCCAGCGCGGAGGAGTGCCGGCCGTCGAGCTGCTTACCTCAAGGGGTGCGAAAAAGCGGGCAAGCTGCGCCGGAAGGGGGTAGCCCGGGCTTCTCGCGAAGGCCTCAAGATTTCGGACGCGACGGCGGCCCTGGACCTACGCGCCCAGACACAAGCCCAATCGGAATTTGGCTTGGACCACCAGCAGCAGCAGCAACAGCATCACCACCAGCATCAGCAGCAACAACAGCACCATCACCATCAGCAGACACAACAACAGCCGCAGTCGCAGCAACAGCAGCCGCAGCAACATCCGCAGCAGCAGCAACAACAGCCGCCACCACCACAGCAGCAGCAGCAACAACAGCAGCAGCAGCAGCAACAACAACAGCAGCAACAAACTCAAAACCAAGACAACCGTCCCCATCATCCTCTCCTTCAACAGCAGCCGCAACAACATCACCACCACCACCACCATCATCATCATCAACACCACCCGGGGAATCATCTCCACCCTGGCGATTCGGGGGGTGGGATAGGTGGTGCTGGCGGAGGAGGAGGAGGAGGGGGAGGCGGAAGTGTTGGCGGTGGAGGCGGAGGAAACGCTGGAGGTGGAGGCGACGCTGGAGGAGGCGTCGGCGGAGGTGGTGGTGTTGCTGGTGTTGCTGGAGGACTACCGACATCGACCGAGCAAGATAGAGCCGCGAGGTTACAGGACGAAGAAGACGAGGATATTACAGAAAGAGAGGACGAGGAGGAGGACGAGGACCCTTGCAGTTCGCCAGAACCCGATCTCGAGAACGACCACGAATCCATGGAAGTCCAAGCCTCGGCCGTCACAGCGGCGGCCGCCAACTTGCACGCTCTGCGACAGCACGTCTTCAAGATGTCTGATTATTGGCAGCAGCCGCAACGAGGCCCGCCTCAGCATTCACCGGGGATACAGCATAGCCCAATATCAAACTCAACGCAACAGCAACAGCATCAGCAGGTTTCGCAGATGCACAGTCCCCTTGGCCAACAACAGCAGCAACAACAACAGCAGCAAGCGGCGGTGTCGCAGGTGCAACAAAATGCCAACTCTGGCCTAGGACAAACGACGAGTCCGCAACAACAATTGCAGCAACAGCAGCAACAGCAACAGCAACAACATGCGATGTCGATGAATCAGCAGGCCGCTCAGAGTGCGCAACATCAATCTTCCCCTGCACCCACGACACCGTCACCCCATGCGGATCACCAAGGTGCCATCGCCTCGAGCATGGCCCAAAGTCTCCATACGTTGGCAGCACAGGCCCAACAGAGCATGTCTCAAACGTCAAGCCCATCGCTGGGCGTTCAAGCTGCTCAAGCTCTAAGCCAAAACCTAGGGCAAGCATTGACGCAGGCCCTCACTCAAAACATGCAACAAAACCTTGGTCAAACGTTGCAGCACAATCTGGCGCAAAGTTTGACGCCCAATCTGTCGCCTCAACAACAACAGCTGCTGAACCAACCGCAGAACCTAAGTCAAACCAATCAAAGCTTGCAGAATATTCAAAGTCAGGCGCAAAATCTTTCGCAGACGTTACAACAGCAGGCGCAAAATTTAACGCAAAACCTCAGCCTGAGTCAACAACAGGCATTGCAGCAGCAGGCACAGAATCTAACGCAAAATCTTCAGCAACAGGCGCAAAACTTGACGCAAAATTTGCAACAGCAGGCACTTAATATGGCCGGTACGATCGGGCAAAACGGTGCGTTAACCGGTATGAACATGTCGGGCAGTCAACAACAAAATTCTCAGAATTCGATGCTTAGTCCTGGCGCGACCAGCCAAGACTCCCACGACGCTACGCTCACGGAGAAGCTCGTCAACGAGTTACAGGTGAGGAAACAAAGCGTATATTTCTCAGTTAAGAATTTACATACATAAGCTCGTTATATCTTTCCGCGAACGGTCGCATCTCTTTATACATCTTCCTTTTTTCTTTCGCTTTATTATTATTTTTTTTTTCTTATTCTTCTTTCTCTTCATCTTCCTCTTCTTTATGATATGTATTTTCTTCCTTTTTTTCTTTTTGCCTTTCTTTTTATTTTTTTTTTTTCCGTTTTTTTCTTTTATTTCCTCTATCTCGTCAGCCTCCCTCGACCATACTCACCGAGAGTAGAGATAAATAACTGGGACGAAGCGACCGCGATAAAAATACATAACGCATCGATAAATAAGGTCGTTCACTCAGGCAGACCGACTCGGACAATACTTTCAAGCAGTTTCTCCACACGGACTGACCGAAGAAAAATATTTGCTCGGATCGTGGCCGACGCGTTAACTTCTCGGCGTTGAGACCGTTAAGATCTCGTTACAGACTCTCTCTCTGATGCTCGCGTGTCGTGACCAAATCGATGTTTTTCTTTTCTACTTTTCTCATACTTCCCAAACGAAACGAGTCTATAACGTCCGTTCGAGAAACTTACTGTATCTCTTTTTTCTTTTTCTTTTTCTTTCGAAAGACTCTATTCGTTTTCCTCCTAATCATATATAACGGACTAAAGAAAAATAAGGATAACAAATATAAAAGAGATCCGTTTCGTAAACAATTATCTCGTCTCGTAAATCGAGCCAGACGACGACGTTGGCAATTTTGACGACAGTTAAAAACCGCGACTGTACCAAGAGATACACTTATGCTGCGGCCGACACGCACACGCACACGCACACACGCGCATATATACACATACACACAGACACACACACACACACACACATACACCGGAATAAGCTGAAGTACAATATCGCGTAAAGCTGAGCACGCAGACGAATGCAACGTGTACATGTAACGCAAACGAAGCAACGCGTGGTAACACGCACGGTAATGTACACTTATGCATGAATCTATCTATGTATGTGTATTACTACGTATGTATGTACTTACACACGTGCTCTCCACGAGGGAGGGCGAGCGCGGGCGTTCGAGCTCTCGTGCACGCGTACATTGAAAGCCGCGATGCCGCAAATGCGAACGCGGCCCACGCACACCAACGCGGGGATGCAGATACGTCGTCTCTCGGGGTTCTTGACCCGCGCAACACAGATAATACCATACGCATACGTCATACGGTACGCCGAGAAGATGTTCCCAAGAAAATATCGTACTGCGTTTCTCCGCTGGCACGATGTTACACCGATACACTTCTCCGCCACGACGTCGACGACGACGTCGACGACGACGACGATGACGACGACGACGACGACGACGACGACGACGACCACGACGATGACGACCACGAGGAGGAGGAGTTTAAGTTCCATTATGAATTTTTCTTTTTTTTCCCCTTATTTGTTTTTATCTTTTTTCTTATAAATTTTATTTTAACAATCTTCACAATTTTCTAATATTAACTCTTGTATGAATACATACATACATACATATATATATATATATATATATATATATATACATATATATATACACTTATCTACATATACATATACATATACAGATATATATATATATATATATATCTGTATATATAGTCTGTATATATAGTATACGAACGTCGACATCGTTTCTATGAGGAACGTATAAATAGAATAAATTTAGAAAATTTTATGCGTTGGTAGGTATCGTTGATCCTTATAATCGTGTTAGTCGTAAAAAACACAAGCTACCTATAAAGCTTGTCTTAGAGATTTACTCTAAGAGAATGGTAATAGTGGATGAAGAATTGGAACCGGACTAATACGAGCCTCCTGTCTTGCCCGATAGTCTCGTGCCTCTGCGGCGGGGCTTGGTGGTGCGGGAGGTGCTGGCGGAGGCGGAGGAATGGGCAACATCAGCGAACGCACCCTCGAGGAATGCTGGTCCACCCTGCAGCGAGTGAGTTGAACACTCAGCCTGTTCACGAAACCCCTTTAAATAATTCTTCTTCGAGTCCCTCATACGTACATAACACGTGCATACATTCATTTTTATCGCTTATCCTTTTTTTTTGTTTCGGAACATCACATTTTCTCTTTTTCAATTTATCATATTATCGATTCAACATCGATCCATTTTTTTCTTTCGCAAATCACACACATACACACGTACATAACGTTCATACACGTAGATGCGTTCGTTCTTGCACGTTCTTGAATCGAAGATCCAATTGGACAATTTCGTCCACTTTTATTTTGTGCCCTTTACCACACCAACCTCCGCCACCTCCCTATCTTTTTGAGCTTGCTCGTTTGTTTTGCACATCGTGTTTGTACACAAAAAAAAACAATTATTATTTTCTTATAGATTTCTCATAAAAACAAACATATTGTCGTAGCTCGCATGTTATACCATGTATTTGTATGCTTTTTCATTATTTCGATACCACATATTCCTTTATATATGTGGTTAGTTTTATAAATGAATTAAGAAACAAACGATTCGTTCGATCTGACATATTTTATATCACCGACTTAGCGATCCGTAAAATATAAAATAAAGACAGTAGAAGAGAAATAAATAGAATGTGGCGATGTTGATAATACATTATCGCCGGCGTCTTCGATCTGGAAGTCGCGAAGAAAGTCGAGAATAAAGAAATAAGGCGACATTAACGAGCCTTGAATCGCGTCGGAGCATCACTACGATGCTCGGAAATAATGGGGTGGGTCGGTTAATGGGAAGTAAAGGGGCTTTTCCCTGGACGAAAGAGGAGAGGGGAATGTAGAGTAGGGAGTAGAATAAGGGGAAAAAAGAAAAAACAAAAAAGAGAAAATAAAAAAGAAATTAAAAGAAAACGGGAGAAAAAAGAAAGGAGATAGAGAGAGAGAGAGAGAGAGAGAGAGAGAGAGAGAGAGAAAGAGCGTGAAGAAGAAGAAAAAGAAGAAAAAAGGAGTGAGGAACGAAGAAGAAAAGGTGGAAGTAGGTACTACATTGTAGGTAGGAAGTGAAAAGTAGGAGGAGTGCCACGGTAACGGTTGGGAAACTTTTAAATTCTCGTCCGCGCTACGAAGCAACAATTTGTTTCGTTAAGTAGCCGCTCGGTCTTTTGTTTTTGCGGCTTCTTTTATTTTTCAAAGGGATGGGTTGGTGAAGTAGGTGGGGAAGGGTAGGTAGGGTAAATGCCGGTGGTCTCGGTTTTCTTCCTCTCTCTCTCTCTCTCTCTCTCTCTCTTTCTCTGTACCACGTAAAACACGCCTTCCATCTCTCTCTCTCTTTCTCTCTTTCGGCACCTTAAAAGCCCACCTAGCACATAGTACACGGCGCACGCTGAGTGAAAACTTGCAAGAAAATCGCGAAAACGGTCGGCACGATGGCGAAGTTTTCGCGTTTCCGAGGGATTTAATTAAAAGATTTGGACTCCTTTGTGCTCCTCGAGTGGTACGACGCGTCACTCGCATCGTGAACGGAGGCCAAAGACTTGCCGGAAAAACGTGAACTTTTTTAGATAAACGAGAGAGAGACAGAGAGAGAGAGAGAGAGAGAGAGAGAGAGAGGAGAGAAAGAGAGAAAAAGAAAGAGTGAGAGAGGTATGTCGGTTCGTCGGCTCTCATGCGAGAACCTTGACTACGACGTCCTTAAGCCTTTGGCCCCCACGTTTAAAGATTCGGGGTTTTCGGGGGAAAAGTGGACCATCTATAATCGGCTTTGTCGTCCACGCGCGTACAAGCCCTGACCCCTTGGACATCAAACGAACGGACGCGACATAATATTTCGCACCCTCCTCACGCACCACTAATCTTTCAAGAAGACGTCCTCTCCCACCTTTCGTGTGGGCAGACGATGCTCAGACGACGACGCCGACGGAAGTTCTGGAAAAGAACAATGCTTCAAAAATTCATTGGATCAGATCCTAAGAGAGAATGAGAGAGATAGAATGAAAGAAAGAGAGGGAGAGAGAGAGAGAGATTGAATGTTACGTGAGAGTGTTAGACTGAAAAAGAAAGAGTTAGTGGAGTGTGAAAAGATTACTCCAAAGCAAACACTCGACAGTTTCGTTCTCATGAAAGAGACAAACGCCCTTATGAGATTGTTTCCTTCCGCTCGCGCACTACCGCCAAAAATTAAAATCCAATTACTTCGACGCCTCGTTCACCGTACCCGATGATTCAAATGAATTTTTTGCTCTAACCTCCTCTTTTAACCCTAACCAGAAACCGGTTCGCCGTATAACTACCGTGACTACCAATACAGTCTTCATCGATTTCGGGCCCTCCTCCGATCTCGGATCGGTGACAGCTGCATGAGAAAAACCGGAACGTTCACGAAGAGAAAAGAGAGAGAGAGAGAGAGAGAGAGAGAGAGAGAAAAAAGAAGAAAAGAAAAGGAGAAGGTGAGAAGAGGAGGCAGGAAGGCAAGAGGCAGAAAAAGGGGTGGAGGAAGGGATGGAGGGAAAGAAAAAAGAATGATAAAACAAAAGAGAATCTCGGTTACTTTCTGTCTTGAAAGAAATGTAATTGTATTATTTTGTAAATTTTTTTTTCTTTCGACATAATTCAATAACGTTGATCGATGTTTTTAATCATTAAAAATCGATTATTATAATCATATATATACATGTGTGACTATAAGTACTGTCGACATATATATGTATTATCGGGAATATTATTGAAGTAAGTTTCTTCTGTAAAGGACTCTTGTACGTCTTAAAATACGAATCATGCATGCTTAAGCGTTACTTACTTTCTCACGTGTATTTGAACCACCCCGAAAAAGAAGGGGTTTTTTTGCGTTCAATCCCGAAGGTCGTTCCTTCCTACTATTTAAATAACGGTTCTCGCACGCGTGTCATTGTTTCACAATTTTCTCTCTCTCTCTCTCTCTCTCTCTCTCTCTCTCTATTCGAAACCGAGTAACCCTTTTTGCAAGAACGCAAAGAGGACCGGGGGGAGAGGGGAGAAGGTCCTCTTCGTTTCGAACCGCAAGACAAAAAAGAAAAAGATGAAAGTACCGGAGCGAAAAGGATTGAACAACCGATGGGAAATAAAATAATAAGAAGAATATGAAATAAGAATAAGAATAAGAAGAATAAGAGAAAGAGATAGAGATATAAAAGAAGAATAAGTAGGAGTTCCGTGCCTCGTGGCCGTTACAACAAACGAAAATAAAATTACGACGTCTCAAGAGCAACTTGCTCGCTTCCATCCCGGCGAATCGCTTGGCCCGTCTTCGCGGCTTTTCTGTAATTTTCTGTGATTTTCAGATCGCATGATAGTCGACGATAAGACAAACCTTTGTGGTCTTTCCCTGTGCTAGCTTTTACCGACACGAGTTAATCGAATATAATTCGATCGTTCCTACTGTAGCTCGAATTCGAAGGTGGTAATGATCGAATAATACTCCGATCGACAAGAATGAAAGAGAGAGAGAGAGAGAGAGAGAGAGAGAGAGAGAGAGAGGGAAAGAAAGAAATAGAAGTTCCTTTTTCTCGCGATAATGAAGCAACAATGAAGAGCGCAATTCGATTGTATCACGAGAGAACTTTCTGCGAATAAATCTAACGAATTTTCAATCATCCCCCAATTCTCTCCCTCTCTCTCTCTCTCTCTCTCTCTCTTTCTCTTTTTTTTTCCTTTATTCCCCGTTCACGTTCATGAAATAACTTTTGAATGAAACTTCAACGAGAACGATGTCACACGTAATGACAAATTGAAATTTTCTTTTAACCTTGACCAATAAAAAATTCGAATATACCAAGTGCCAATCCAAATTGGCCGATCTCGTCGAATAACGAGAGAGATAGAGAGAGAGAGAGAAAGAGAGAGAGAAAACCTAAGAGCTAAACGCGATTCGAATTAAAGAAGAAAAGGGAAGGAAAGGACGAAGAAAGTAAAGGAAAGAGGCTCGGCTCTCGGCTCCGAGCGGAACGGCACGCAGATACGTGGCAGCCCCGCCGGCTACAGCTCTCTTTCTTCTTCTTTTTCTCTTCTTTATTCGTCTCTCTCTCTCTCTCTTTTTCTTTCTCTTTCTTTCTCTCTCTCTCTCTCTCTCTCTCTCTCGCTTGTTCTCCCACTCTTTCTTTTCCTGTCTCCCTTCCGAGCAGTTTCGCCGTGACCTACCCCAAGAAGATCGCGAAAAAGAGAAAAAGAAGTAGTCGACGCGATGGAAGGAGAAACGCTAGAGTGAGCCAGCTAGTGAGAAACATAAAGAGAGAGCGAGAGAGAGAGAGAGAGAGAGAAAAGGAGAGGGAGAGAGAAACAGAGAAAGAGAAAGAGAGATAAAGGGAGAGGAAGGGAGGGAGGGAGGGGGAGGGAAAGCGCCCACACACGCCTTCGAAGTGCAGTAACGACGCGGAGGGAGAAAGAAGAAGTCGTGGAGGGGCTGAGAGGGGAGAGCACTCTGAGCAGAGTTTATTCTTTGTGTCGCGCGTGTGGCTGAGGGTTTTTTTTTATCGTTCGTTGACTCCGCATTTTCTCTCTCTCTCTCTCTCTCTCTCTCTCTCTTTCTCTTTTTCTCTCTCTTTTTCTCTGTCTCTCTCTCTCTCTCTCTCTCTTTCTTTCTTTCTCTTTTTCTCTCTCTTTTTCTCTCTCTCTTTCTCCCTCTCTCTCTCTCTCTCTTTCTTTCTCCCTCCACTTTTTCTTTCTCTCTTTCTTTCTTTCTCTTTTTCCTTCTCTCTTATGCACTCGCGAGCATTCGTGCAGCCTCGGCGGTCCGAGCCGACCAACGCCACGCACGATAAGATTGCGCTCGCAGGGACGAGCCAAAGATCTATACCTCTCTCTCTCTCTCTCTCTCTTTTTCTCTTTCTTTCTTTGTCCCTGTCTCTCTCGTCGAAATTTGCTCGTTGGTATCCATTCGTTCACTTCTCGCTCTGCGAAAGAATTTTTCTGATCTCAAGGTCGTTCGACAATATTTGATTTATTTTTATTTATTTTATTTAACTTTCTAGAAAATAGATT